CCTTTTTAGACAAGGTAACAAGGATAGTAAACACCAAGAGGGAAGCTGGTGTTATGCCAGCTACAGTTATATACTCTTCTGGAAAACACAGTATTGTGCAGAAGTATGCATTTGATCTACTAAAAGGAGTATCTCCAAATGATTTAGAGGTGTTGGGAGGGCTCCAAGAGATTCATAATTAAGGGTAGATCGATATAATCACCCTACTCTTATAAGCTATGTGACCATTGTTAATTATTCCGTCTTATGTTTCAATGTGAAAAATATATAAACATTTCAACAACATTACTGTACTCTTCAGAAGCTAAAACATTTATTTTAAACTATTTTTTATCAAAAAATATTCAAATAAAATGTTTAAATAAATCAAGAAGCAGAAAAGTGTTTAAAACTTAATACAGTTATGAAAGACTGGGCTCTTTTCGAAATTCACAATTCAATTGAAAGAATATTTAAAGAACATCAATACAAGTAAAAACTTTATTGTCTTTAAAAGAAGTTTTTAAATAATTTAAAAATTTTTTAAATTGTTACAAACTGTAAAAATAGTGATTCTTGATGTTCGGTAAACTATTTTTGGGACACAAAGTCTGTCGAAATAAATATTTAAATAAATAATGTTTATTTTTAATGTGGGTTCGATTTATTTTATCGTCGATAGAAGATGAAACGTACTCCTCAATTCTGCTTTATAACTACAGCACTGATGTGTGCTCGTGCTGCCGCCTGTGACGCTGTACTTATACTACGCGCAACGTTTTAATTAATTAATTTTAATTAACAATCCTAATGGGGAGAATCAAATTTCAGTTGTGAAGCGAAATGAGCGAAGTCATTTCCACTTTTAAAAACTTTGGCGAATTGACCGCTAATGTCATCAACGGCATTGCACAAGTATTAGGAAACATAAAAGCGGAAATGGATGAGTTAATGAAATTCAGACAAAACCAAGGAAATTTGAAGTACTTGATTGATGTAATTAGAGATAATTACGCCGATCAAGTCGTCAAAATTAACGAAACGGTCAGATCTTTGACAGAAGTCAACAGATCTATGCAACAAAGGATGAGACAAGAGAGATGAGGAAGAAAAAATAATATTACTGATGAGAAAGTTTTGACAGAACAAAATTTCAAAGTTCGCGATATTAAAATTATTGGTATTACAGGAAGAGGCAAATAGAAGACAGACAAATGATGGGTTAAAAGAGACGATAGCTGCCTTTTCTGTAAAAAGAGAAAATATAAGGTGCAATGAAAGTCAAACATCGGGACACATTGGTGGGAACTGTCCCAACAAAGATAAGGTTATCTTTGTTACAATTGTAACACTTTTGGGAATCACATTGCCGCTGATTGCCCAAATCAGCCATCAACTTCTCGAGGAATAAGTTTTGAATGAGGTTATTCAAAATTCGGTGAGTCAAATGATAAATCAAATTATTCGAGTAATATAAGGCGAGGAATAAAAAGGAAAGGTAATCCCGAATTCAATAATAACCCCAAAAGATGGAGATTAAAAATGGAAGAATATGATTACATCGTGGAATACAAAAAAGGATCAGAAAATACTGCAGCTGACGAGCTTTCCCGCGTGCATATCACGCAGGACAATACAAATGAGCCGCGAGAAAAGCAAACAGGTTTTAAATTTATAATTCGACTTAGAATCAGAATTACAGGAGATCAAAATTACTAACGACCCTTCTGATGAAGACTTTAACACCTCTATTCCTTCAGAATAAACAAACAATGTAGATAATCCATCCACTGCCGCGGAGACATTAGAAATTCCCGACGCGACTCCCACTAGGCTTTTTATCTCTAACCCTCTTCAGAAACCACATGTGACACCTTCACAACCCATAGACACCTCGCTCGATACAATATTACAAGTGGTTTGCGAATCGCACGGAAACTAGAGAACAAGAAAAACTTAACGTAAACGGCAAATTATGGAGGGAGTTTAGGAAACGTGACACCGATGATCCCAACATTAAACAACTACTACTATATAGTGAAAAGGAATGGCTAAGGAAATTAGACTATACAGCTAGGTGGACTTTATCAAAAAATTTGACAATTCTTAGACTGCACTTTAATGACCCGACTATTACTTCTACTGAGCGCATAAAAATATAAATCTTAATTGCGTTTATTAGTTTCAAATACCATCAAATAAAAGTACATACATGTTACAATAGTACTACATAATTGACAATAGAGGAAAGAAATAAAATTATAGAGGAAAGTCATGGATCCATAATGGCACAACATTTTGGGGAAAACAAGTCTATTCTAAGAGCTAGAGAATTGGGAATTATACGTTTGGATCCCCTAAACAAATCCTATCTGATCAAAGACAGAATTTTATCTCCAAGTTAGTAAAAAATTTCGAAAATTTATTTAGAATACAAAGGAAAATAAACTAAGTCCGGATTGAAAAGGGCCTGCCATCATTATCAAAACACTGCTATAATAATAACTATGCAAAAATTTTTAATAATGACAGATTGACTATTCACGCAGATATATTAAAGACCATTTATTCTTAACTTTCAGGTTCAAAATTCAGATCCTATTAAAAATAATAACACTAGCAACCGTTATCCAGGCTGACATCGTAGTAAAGCCTTTACAGAACATTCCTATGTTCGCTAAAATCCTGGTTACTACTAGTTTAATCCACCGGACATGAAAATTAGTCGTTGGAGTGGACGCCTCAACAATAGAAACAAGATTGCAACAAATTTCAAAAATTTACAAAAGAGCGTCGAATCTGTTTAAATTGTCAAGAAGAATTCGAATTACACGCCATTTACAATAGAATTAATAGGTTAGAAGATTTAAAAGTTACCCTCTAGACCAAATTCTCGGATTTACACGCTCAAAACGAGGCATATTAAATATTGTCTGCTCAGTTTCAAAAACATTATTTGGAACACTGAACGAAAGTTGACCTGACATTAATTAATGATGAACTCGATAACATTTACAAGAATCAAGAGTTAATGAGTCAAACAATAGGAAACCAGACAAGAATTTTAAAAACTTTATTAAATTCATCATCTCACGATTTTCAAAACTTAAATGAACAATCCGAAAATCAAGTAAATCGATTAAATACTATGATTAACGCCACAAATAGCAAACAGAAAAATTTAATAGTACCTAACATGATAGTTTTAAGTAGCATTGCCATAGAGAAGCTTAATGATGATGTAAATTTGATAATTAACGCCGTTAACGACGGAAAACACGGGATCATACACCCTCAAATTCTCACACCTAGTCTATTGATCCAAGAGTTACTAAAAAAAGAAGATAAAACCAATAGCAAATACCCTATCAGGTTAATGCCTCAAAATTACCAACACATTAGAGATATTTCTAAAACCAACATTCTAATCGTGAACAAACGTCGTGTTTACGTACATAGAATACCAGAAATAGAACAGGATAATTTCTAAACTTTATACTTAATCCCAATTCCTATTCGTCATGGAAAAAGTTTTCTTGCACTTATTCCTTCACATGAGATAATCCTAATCAACTTTGAGAAAAGTCTATATATTCCCAGTGATGTAAAACTTCTCGAAAAATGTGAGAAACTGGAAGAACAATACATTTGCAAAAGAACTCAACCAACATATTTAATTAGCGAAATAGAAAACTGCGAAACCAGCATTATAAAGAATCAGAATAAAATAATTTACGATCGCATTTGTGAATTTTCGGTGTTTAGAATTTTAGAAGTAGCTTTCATTCCACTACATGACCCTAACCAATATATAATTATTCCAGAAAAATACTCTATATGAAAAGTGATATTGTATTTCTCTATAAAAAGAGAAATCCACATAAGTAATAATGTAAATTTATCAATGGAATTGATTAGTCGGAGGAGAAAGAAGAATCAACTGAAAAAGTCCAATCTTCACAAAGTCTCAATTATTAATTATGAATTATAATTAATAATTGTCAACGAAAAGCTGACTATAATTAGTCACGAAAGTACCGAGGTTATCAATCCGCAGGGGCCTTCCGCATTGCGCAGGTCACTGGGTCAGGCGACCCCGATGTAATTGCCAGTTCGAGTTTGGCTACTCGTGAGTGACAACACGAAATTGAGCGAGAATATCTAATTTTCCAATTTATACGGTGTAACCGAGTTTAAAGAGAAAATAATATGGATTACCGGAGAATATTAAAGAAACTCCAAGGTTAGTGTCTCATTCTTCTTTACCGGTAGTGGCACCATAATAGTAAAAGGAAAAGTCGAAATCGTTCCCGCCATCGTCGCCATTTTTGTAGCGTTTTCCTTTGGAATTTTCCATTGAGCGAAATTATACAACGTCTGAGGAATAAGTGCGTAATGCAGTACGCAGTATTTCGCGACGAACAAGATGTTGCATTCGATATAATGGGCATTCGATATAATGGAGACGTCAATCCAAAACATCAAATACACTCGTAGGAATAAAACATGGTTAGAGAAGGGTACTGATTTACTAACGTACTTAGGATATGGTTCACTGATTTGCGTTATCATATAAATGCTCAGTAAAATAGGATTCTTTAAATTATTACTGTACGTAATACCGAAAAACTTTTGTATATATTTATTCTGTGTAAAAAATAATATTAACAATACTCCGACATCTGTACTTCAATACGACACTATACCTTCAGCACCGATAGCAATAAGCAGAAGCGACGATGTACGAATTAAACAAAAAAGTGTTAGAATACGCGAACTTAGAGACTAAGTTTTGTCTAACCAGGATAGGGGGGGGTAGTACGTTTCTTACTTTTTTAAGTACAGGGGTGTGTCGAAAAACTAAAGATTTTAAAATAGCTTTTCGTTTCCTATTCATCTGAAAAAACTAGTTTTCCTCTCCCGCCTATCCCTTAGGAAGTCAACTTGGCATTGCCTAGGACAAAGTTTCTTTTTTAGTAAATTATTAAATTATTATTAACAATTATTAAAAACCCGTCACAGAAGACTATTTGAAAAATTTAATTGACACCTTTTTGAAACATGTATTACAGTTATCTTTTATATTTTTTTAAGTGTCACGTTCTCGCGACATCATGTCTGCGTTTCATCGATCTGTAATACATTGAATCACTGTTCTCGTTCTAAATTAAATTTTATTGTTACCGTATAATACTTTGAGATTTTCATTTAAAAAATCAATATTTGCATGTTAAAACTTGAAGAAAACACTAATGTTGGTAACAAAACGTCCTTCTCATGAAATACATATTTGCAAATTTTTTTTTATAACAGATTAAATTTTCAACTGATTATTATTCTTCATTCATAACAGTTCTTCCTGCTTATTACCTTCTTGTTCTAACGTTCCTCTTCAATTGAAAATAAAAAAAAATGTTATGACTAGATTATTTTTAATCCTAAAGCTTTTAAATAACTGAGTATTTATGTTTCTTCTGCATAGTTGACTAAAGCATAATTTTTCAATTATGTAAGTAACTTTTCGACAGTAAGTTCTTAATTATATATAGTCACCATTCTCGAAATACATGATATATGTTCTAGACAGTTTATATACCTTTTCGCATTCTTAGTTTACCTCTTTTACTACAATTTATATAGAAAATGATACATTACCTGACTTCTCTCGCACTTAATTTTACTACATATTTTGTAAAAGACGTCATTTTCAAAATACTAGAATCTACAATTCCAGTTCAGGTATTTTCCAGATTAGATACATTACTATGAACTTTGATTAAATAATAATCAATTTCTCAAATATTTCGGCAGAGACAAATATTCATGATCCTAATCAACATATACGTGCTTAGATTTTAATTCAGTCTTACAGTTTTTTCATTGAAATAATTTCTTTACGCAGAATATGACTGCTAAAAAAAATTTTGTATTGGATCAAAATTTGTATCGTTCATTAAAATCATTTTGAGTGTCTTATAAATGATCATATAACATTAACGAAGATAATGAATTTTGATTCACAACTTAAAACCTCGCATCTGAAATCAAATTAAAAATAAATTTAAAAAAATCGCTTCTTTCGATTTACTCATATCAAGTGCATCGATTTCACATTACCTACTTTTAAATTAGTTAAAGAAATTTATTACTTATGTAAATTATTTGTAAATCTTACCACAACTTTCAACTTCACATCTATATGTTTCCTTTTTATATCTTGACATTCTTTGTTTTTTTGGAGTGTATTCTTCATCGTCAGAACAATTAGTACTTGCATTGATTGACACATCTTCCAGTTTCATATTTTGACAATCCAAACTACTGAAAAGTATTCTATCTAAATTTTCCATATCTATAATTTGATTATTACTTGGAGAAGTGATTTGTTTTGACGAATTTATATTTTTCGTCATTGTTACATCATCGTTAACAAAAACAACACTGACTTGATTCTGAAAAAGATAATAAAATATAAACACTGCTGGTAAAAATTTTAAATTTTGCGTCAAAAGATGGATTTTACTTTTACTGTAAATTATCAACAAAATCTACTATTTAAAATAGACTTTAGTTTATTTTAAAGAATGTTATTTAAATGAACCTTTAAGAGTAAGTTTTGCATTTTTTTATTATTAAGAAAAATTACCTGAAAACTATCATTACATTTTGAAGTTCTCGCTTCATATTTCATAAGAAAATTTTCTTTTGTTATTAAAAGATCTTCATTTTTTGGAAGTTTCGCATAAATCCTACAGTGATTAGGCAAATGATTTTTGTCTTTTAACTTTTGTGCTTCAAGACTATAATCTTCTTTTTGTTGAGCTTTTGTCGTTATTTTTCGATCTGTTTTTGATGGCTCATTCTTTATGGAAAGACAATAATTTATACCACCAGAAACTAAAGTTTCTGAATTCTGATAATGTCTATCAATATCAGTCTCAAAATATCCTTCTTCATTGCATTGACTAATATCATCTTCATGTGTATTCTCAGAACCTTCGACAAAACAAATAATCTCTGGTTCAGTTGGAAGTGTCGGTGGTTGTCTATGACAAGTTTCTATATGCTCTGCTAGATTTTCACTAGTCACATAAGTAGAAGAACACGATGTATATGGACAAACAAAGACGTTCGTTTCATTATGACACTCTTGATAATGACGCCACATACTGCCTGGATCAGATACTTCTTCACCACATCCTGGTTCACGGCATCTGAAAAATAATTTTTAATTTATAGCCACTACACTCTTCTGGTTTTTGCGGAATTGACATGAAATCAATCCGCAATTAGTCCGCAACAAATTGAATTGTATAATGGTAGGACTTTCACGCGTTAATAAAAACTCGTGTGCACCGTCCACATTAATCGAACACAAAATACTTAACTGAAATTACGCTAAAATAATCAAAAGGGACATTTCGACCAAGGAAAACCACCAGTGCATTAATGATCCCAAAACAAGATTGTACCAAGAAACGACTCACCAACGTTGAAATGATGACGTTGAATTGACGCTGATATTCGAAAACACTTATTTTAAAAAGTAATAAACAGCATAAACAATAAACTCATAATTAATTAATACTAATGAAGATTTATTTAACTAATACAACATATTTAATAAGAAGAATTATGCGTGTAACGCAATATAAGATTTATAACGAAGTATATCGTTATTTAGATATCAGTCCCCAATATTCATTATATGGTCGAGAATTTTATATATTAGTATCAGCGTCGAATATGTCAAGCAGGGAGATCTATTCATATGAGTGTGTGATTGTGCGTGTCAGCGGTTTTTCCTTAGTATAGGTGGTTCGTTGTCCAATGAAGGATTAGGAAGTTCCAGATATTTCCGGATTCTCAACGATCAAGGGCCAGCAGGAAGGAAGAGGGCGCGCAATAATCAATCGAGAGATCAAACCGAGCTGCCGTGTAAGGCGGATGTGTGCCGACAAATGTGCTAAGAGACTATTAGTATTTGATAAGTGTATTATAGTTGGTTAAATAAATAGTTGTTATATTGTTTAAATCGTGAGTTATTGTGTCTTCAATCCTTGGGGTCAAGTCGCAGCCACATCGTCGTTCCAGCGGATTATCTTAACAAAGGTGTGTTTAGTGAGTACCATCCATAAGGGTAACAGGTAGTTCAAATCAGGTCGTCGTCGTTTTTCTCGATCGTTTCAGCGGAATCTCCCCATGAGAGAGGCTCGTATGCCGGAGAGTAGTGTGTAGAGAAATCACAGTACGTAATTTAAACACGGGATTGTGGAATATTATTATTTTAATTAATATTTCTAATATCTAAATTAGCGTTACAGATTATGAATTTCCGCGAAAAGGTTTTTTCTCCGATACAACCCAAAATCGACTTCCCCTAGATCTTCTAATCTGTCAAGAGGAGCCCGCTATTCCTTTTCCTCGTCACCCCTGTGACTCCATCCTTCTCCCTGGACGATTTTGTCGGCAACTCCCCGGAATACTAAGTTGGGAACTTAGCAATACCTAAATAGCGACGCTGACAATCGGGCCTTTATAGTAGGGGAGCCCAATGTGTTTTTTGGGATTAACTCGAGCGCGGCAGATGAACACAGGGGAATACCTTGCATATTGTTAAGTACCTTTTCCAAGTATTAAATCTTTTTATCAAGGCATGCGTCTAGGATAGTCCATCAGATTATTAAAAAACACAAATGGTTGGAGTTATTAAAGTGCGTCAGATAAAGGTAAGGTGGGTTAATTACCAGCTAAAAAATGTACATTTAAAAAATCTGACGATTTGAGCGTAACCTAAGGGAGCGGGAGGATTACAAATTTGCAAAAAAAACATCTTGACATTCTCGAGCGTGATTAAATTTTTTTTCAATTTGAAGGAAATAACACAAGAATTACGAATAAAATATAATCTGACGATTTCCAAAAGGCTGGCTCTCTCGCAATCCCTATTTCTGACACTGCTCTCCGTCGCCATGACACCATTACAGCGATCACAAAATAGCTGTCAGATTAGCAATATTCCTCAAAATAATCGTCAGATTTTGAAACATCATGACTGAAGCATGAAGCTGAACCATCTAAACTATTAGTATCTGACACGCTCAAGTATTTCCATGTAATTGTTTTTCTTTACATTTTTGAAAATTTGTATACGCTTTGTATACCATCTAAACTATTAGTATCTGACACGCTCAAGTATTTCCATGTAATTGTTTTTCGTTACATTTTTGAAAATTTGTATACGCTTTGTATACCATCTAAACTATTAGTATCTGACACGCTCAAGTATTTCCATGTAATTGTTTTTCTTTACATTTTTGAAAATTTGTATACGCTTAACGCACCACTAAAAGGGAAATCTTTATAGAACCTTTTCTTTTCCTTATCATCTAAAAACTACAAAATATCGTCCCGACGACGCTCGAGTAAATTCCCATTTAGCATCATGGGCTCCCCTACTATTAGGCGACACAAAGAAGTGCAAATTCTCACGCGGAAAAACTGCCAGAACACATATTCATGGCACTCTGACAAGAAAAACCAAACAGCTAACTGATTGAGAGGGGCAAAAACTCTTACAGATGCCAACCAATATAAGTAACGATTTACATCGTTACAATTGTATTCAATCAAAAAACTCAATCCGATGTAATGATCGTATATTTTTAGCCAATAGGATTTGCTCACCTGATGGAGCCAGAGTTATTCAATAAAGAATTTTACTAGATTTCTAGAGTAATCACAACATTATTGCCACTAGTCACGTTCCGACATTTTCTAGTCCTGCCTATGATTAGATTCGTAACGTTATGCCTTAACTAGTGAGAATTTCGATTCATCCCCTTTCCCTTTATTTCGTTTATTCTCCGATGCTATTCTAGAACTTGACTTCCAGATTTCGTCGTCGAACGAAACTAGATTTCGTGCACGCTAGAGATCGGCTAAGGACCAATCAAAGGATTAGACATCAGGATGCTACCTGATGTTCATGCCCGATGCGAAATGCTGAGAATATGGTTTCCACAAGATTTTACCTCGATTCAGAAAATACCTGCATTCAAATGGGATCGAGTCGTAGGGAACAAAGAATAAAGAAGGCGATTTCCTCACGGAAATAACTGTTGAACAGTCTAGGAAGGCGAATCATATATTAAAAAACTGGATAAATTAAATGTTAAGTTCAATACACCATTGAATCCCTCGATAAATTTGGATCATTAAAAAAATACGTATCGATATCTTTAAAAATGCAAAAAATAAACCAAAAAGTATAAACATGAAAACTTATACGTAAGTGACGCCAAAGCACCAAGTTACTAACAGCTGATTATTCCGTGAAGCAGACAAAATCAAAATTGTTGCCAAAGATGCATATGAATATTCCTATCGGTAGAACTTAGCCCCGGTACTTCCAGCCCCGGGCTCCCCTATAGGATCCTTTTTTCAAAAAATTGAAAAAAAAATTCTTTTATAAAGAATTATCAAAAATAGTTACAATTTGCCATTTTTTGACCCTTTAGATTTGATTTACTAAAATAAAGGTTAAATTTCGCAAGTCTGTGGTATTAATTAAATTATTTGCTTTATCTTTATCGTCTTTTAAATTATATATAAATAAACACATGTGTTCATTGTTTTTTTGGAAAATATTCTTGTAAAAAGCATTATTTGTTGAGTTACAACTGGTGTTCCCCCCTTAATAAAAAATGAGGGGAGACTGGGGCAAACCGGCCAGGTGTTAGTTTCTCAGAATTGGTCAAACTTTAAAATATGTCAATTGAGTAGCTGCCTGCAATAACTCGCCGAGCGCTTGGCCGATCGCTCTAACGCCAGTCAAACGTTCAAAAACGTGAAAAAATGAAAAATCAAAATTTTGATTTTTGAAAAGTGCAATCTTGTAGGACATAAGATGGCGCATCTTTTTTCCTTTGAATTTTTTTTTGTAGATCAAAAAATAGAGTTAATATATGCAAAACACTTAAAAATTTTATTTCACAAATTTCATTCAATTTTTAAACATAAATCATAGTATCTTTGACAAATTTTAATGAATCTTATTGAAAATTAATATACATACATATTTAGGTCCATAGAAGACGACAACATAATCAAAAATATTAAAATCATCAATTGTTTATTTATAATTACAACATACTCAGTCACGATTATACAGATTTAAGAAATAAACTAATGGTTCCAAAATTCTACGACAGAATTATTTTTTTGGACCTACTATTATTGTTCAAAATTATTAACGGATTAATCGATTGTCCATCAATATTGTCAAAAATAAATTTTATTATTCCTTCAAAAGGTTTAAGAAATCAAAAACTGTTCAGAGTTAAATTTAATAAATCTAACTATTTAGACAACAGTGTTATTAACAGAATTTGTACTAGAGGTAACGAGTACTGTCATGCGTTAGACTTTTTTGGTATATCTTTAGGAAAATTCACAAACGACTTACGAAAATTAATTTTGTATTAGTCGATAAGTCACCTACATGATTTCGTCATTCTGTGATTATATTCATTATATATTTTTATAATATTAAGTGCTTTTGCACTAAAGGGCATTTTTAACTTTTTACTTGTAAGCCCGTACATTGTAATTAAATAAATAAATAAATAATTAATTGTAAATGAAGACTTGTCAATAATAATGTTTACTTACCTTTGTCGACATAAAGTGTGTGGGAAACTTCAGAGTTGAAGAAACTTCCAATGAGACATTTGTTTATCATAATGTAAGGAAGTTTTTTGTAAAATTTAAAAACAATTTATCAACAACTTTAGAAAATATAGAACGTTTAAGAAAACATGCGCGACGCGCTAGCGAGTCTCCGCGCGGAGAATTGCAAACAAGAGTTGTAGAGGACCGAAAATACAGAAACAAATATTGTCACTACATTCTTAGAAATGTTTTTCAAATAAAATATGTGTTAATTTTATGAAAATGCAAATTAAATTTCAACAACTGTTTTTTTAATATTTACTAAATAATCAATAGTTTTAAAATATTTTGGTGCTTGTATGTACAGTTTGTGCAGTTTGCAAATAAGTTTTTTAATAATTAATATTAAGGTATATCTTTATTTTCTGTTTCTTCATTTTTTTAAGAAATTAGTGTATTGTTACATATCAACAGTGATAGTATGTTGGCTCCATTTTCAAAACATAATATATCACAACATAACATCCTTCTTAACTCTTGTGTGCAATTCTCCGCGCGGAGACTCGCTATCGCGTCGCGCATGTTTTCTTAAACGTTCTATATTTTCTAAAGTTGTTGATAAATTGTTTTTCAATTTTACAAAAAACTTCCTTACATTATGATAAACAAATGTCTCACTGGAAGTTTCTTCAACTCTGAAGTTCCCCACACACTTTATGTCGACAAAGGTAAGTAAACATTATTATTGACAAGTCTTCATTTACAATTAATTATAAATAAACAATTGATGATTTTAATATTTTTGATTATGTTGTCGTCTTCTATGGACCTAAATACGTATGTATATTAATTTTCAATAAGATTCATTGAAATTTGTCAAAGATACTATGATTTATGTTTAAAAATTGAATGAAATTTGTGAAATAAAATTTTTAAGTGTTTTGCATATATTAACTCTATTTTTTGATCTACAAAAAAAAATTCAAAGGAAAAAAGATGCGCCATCTTATGTCCTACAAGATTGCACTTTTCAAAAATCAAAATTTTGATTTTTCATTTTTTCACGTTTTTGAACGTTTGACTGGCGTTAGAGCGATCGGCCAAGCGCTCGGCGAGTTATTGCAGGCAGCTACTCAATTATAAATTTGAAAAAACTATATTAAGAATAACTTATTATTATTATTATTTTACTTATTATTATTATTATTATTATTATATTTATTAATTGTTTTTAGGTTTAAAAGGTACATGCCTGAGTTAAAATCGGTATATTATTTAATGATTTTACTAAGCATTTTTTTTATCCAGGTCTTAATTGTCAAAATGGGCTTGTGGGGCAAACCGCCCTATATCTGTTTCCTTTGCAACAGAAATTCACGAAGATTACCTATCGGCTAGAAAATTCGTGCACGCTTTCGTGAATCTTTGTCCACTTTACGGAGATTTACGAAGTTTTACAAAGTTCACCGACAAACGTTTCTTAGTGAACGACAACAATTAGTTGAAAATATTTGTTTTATAATAAATAAGATGTTTCTTTAATTATTGAAATTTAATCCTATCTTATTATTTTCTTTATTGGGAAGATTGTTTATTGATTTTTTATATTTAGTGACGTTTTCCTTACAATTAATTCTCTAAACAAACAAACAAAAATAAACTGGCCAGTTTACCTCAGGGGTGGGAAAAACCGGCCAGTTTGCAAATTTTTTTTAAAATTGATGCAGCAGCTAAACAATACATTTTAAGGTAAATGTGTCTCTAAGAAAATGTTGCGCAATTAGATGACCTTTCCAACAAGCTATTATAAAAGGTTTTTCATTAGTTTCTTTAGTTACTAGAGCCTTACAACTGTTAACATGGCCGCTTTGCCCCAGTCTCCCCTACAGTTTTTTATAAAGTATCATAGTTAAGGGATCGCTCATGTAGATATAACAAATAAACGCAGAAGTTGAATTTGTCATCATAATGTTTAAGGTTGATTCTCTCAAAAAGGACAAATCACGTGAGCACGATTTTAGACGATATTTTTATTAAAAAATAATAAAATTAATTTCAATTAATAAAAATTCTGCCAACCATTACGATAAGATTTAACAATTTTCAATCGGATCATTAATGAAAATTTCCAAAAAAGGTGAAATAACTTAATTATTGAATGAAAAGTAGTGTTAAAACTCCACTCTGTAACATCAGATTTTATTCAATATTTCAGTTATTTGGCCTTTTTTTGAATTATTCTTTAGTGATCCGACTGTTAAATCTTAACGTATGGCTAACATAATTTTTAAGAATTTCAATCAATTTTATTATTTTTGAACAAATTACCGTGAAAGCATGATTTGTCCTTTTTGAGAGAATCACCGTTAAAACATTTAAAAAATACGAAAAATTGTTTTTCTAGTTAATATATTTAAATAATATATCTTTCTTTAAATCTGATCTTACATAAATCGAATTTTCAGCGCTTCTAAAATCTCATGAGCCTTGTATTCATCTTGATTTGTAAAAATTTTTCCACATCCACGTTGCTTACATTGGTAAACTTCCTGCAATTAGAAATAAGAGAATTAACAATATCATTTCATAAAATGAGAATGTAAGTAATTAAATATTGAAATACATAAATAAGAACTTAATTCTATATAATAAGCATATAAGTGCTATGTTAATTAAAGAAATACTACAGTACAGACATATCACCCAAGTAGTGAGTAAACTTTGCAACAGACTGCAAAGCTTGTAGTTTAAGTTTGCCGTAAAAAACCAAGAAAAAAGAGTGTATTTTGTTTAAAATAATGTTAACCACTAATTCTACTATTGTTAATGCGAAAAAGAAACATAATAATCAGCGTTAGGGGATTTGCTTTTCTACTGAAAATTCCCACATAGGATTAATATAATTTCTACGTTTTTTCCTATTCAAATTCCTGTTCCAAATACGGATACGATTTTATATGGGGTCCCTTAAGGTTTTCCTCATGGGTTCCTATGTGGGAAACCATATAAGAGCAAAAATAATTTTAAATATTTTGCGCATAGATAGCGCATTATTCCAGCTTAAGCACAATATTTCCAGTAACTAAACATTATGCGAATCTGGTGTCAGTATTTCAAAATTAAAAAAGGTAGATCTAATATAATAATAACAATAATTGTATTTCGTTTAACTCTTTAACTCACCAAAACTCACTTTATTCTACACACAGGAACGAAAGAATTATTACAAAAATTTATTATTTTTAGATGATATATGATTTTGAAAAAAATTTTATTGAAATATTTTCAAAATTTTTATTTACTTTTAACTTTTTTGTCGGTGCTCTAAAAAAAATTGAGGTTTTGCACATAGATTTTTAATAATATTCTTTACCTTCCATTAAAATCTCACGAAGATGTTTCACTTCGTTTTGGAGATAATATGTTTTAAAAAAATTTATTTAAAAGGTTAATTAAAAGACTTGAAGTTAACTGACCACTTTCAAATCGCTACATTATGCAAATTACTAATTCGAACAAATAAAAATTTGGCTCAAAACCAATTATGACAAATGAAATTCGATAAAATGCAAATTCTGACTAATGATTTTTAGAACATAATCATGCGTCCCTATCCCGATCATTTCCTAGTTTCCCAGTCAAGTGGCCACCCTGTTTTTATCAATAAATTTTTTGATAAGCTATTTGGTAAAAAAATTTATCTCTTTGGTACGAACATGTGACATGAATTTCAGATTTTGAAGAGCGGGGGCAGATTTTGCATATACTTACTCGGCTATAGCCTTTGTCTTACTTAATTAAAATTTTGTAAATTTGTCTTAATTCGATTCTGAAATATTCGATATAAATTTTCTTGATAATATTCATATAGAATTATTCTTATTAAGGAATTAATAAAATAAACTTAATATTAAAGATGGTAACTTTATGCATTTTTAAACACCATGATTAGGGGCCATTCATTAATTACGTAAGGACGATTTTGGCTATTTTTGACCCCCCCTACCCCCATGTAAGGATACATAAGATTTTTCGGACCCCCCCTCCCCCTTCTTACGTAAGTTTTTAACAATATTAATGTAATTAAAAAATTAATTACATCAATACAAATGGAAAATACTAGGAAAAATCTTACGTAAGATTAGCTTCTACCCTCCACCCCCCCACGTAAGACCATGTAGAGATTTTATAAACCCCCCCTCCCCCTAAGGACCCTTACGTAATTAATGAATGGCCCCTTATGCCCTAAAATCGCATATAATTATTCGACAATTATGCAATTAAAACAAAGAAATTATGCAGTAATTATTCTTTAAAAAATCAAAATTTTCTGATGAAATATTAATGTTTGTCTATAATTTTTCTCTTAATTCTAAAGATATCATAAAAACAATGAATAACATAAATCACAAAAACATAGGGGAGAGTGGTCCTATGTCGGCCCTGTGGGTAAAGTCGGCCCCCCCCTGATTTCTCAGAGCTGGCGTTCGCGTCGAATTAATAATTTTGTGGTGTGACATATTAACAAACACTAAAATAATTATTTTAGTGTATGTAAAAAAATAGTTTGTTTAAAATTATTAATTCGACGCGAACGCCAGCTCTGAGAAACCCTGGGGGGCCGACTTTACCCACAGGGCCGACATAGGACCACTCTCCCCTAAGTCGTATTGTTATTAAAAAAACTTGATAAAAATGCAGTCACTTTTATTAGAAAGTTAATGCACAGTTAGTTGTACAATCATTAATAATAATTTGTATTCAAGCAGTTTTAAATCAATATTTATAAACTTATAGGAACAAAAATTTAAATCACAAAAAATGATATTACACAATGATATTAATTTTCAGAAACATTTTTATATAATATTAATTATATTTCTTTATAATTGTAGTTATTAGACTGTTTTACTCTAATAAATTTTAAATCGTAAAGTAATATTCTTATAATATACTTATCATCACTTAAAATATTAAATAATGTAATGTAATAAATTAACTACAATTGAATACCCGGATCAAATAACTCGACCGACGCTCGGACGCACGCTCTAAGGGTAGTCGGGTAGCAGTGAGCCGCCCACAGGCTGTCACTGCTACTTGACTGGTAATAGAGCGTTCGTCCGAGCGTCGGTCGAGTTATTTGATCCGGGTATTCAATTAAAAAACAAAGTGTAAAAAGTTAAACCTTCAAAAGTTAAATCTCAAAAAATATCATGGGAAAAATGTATCACAATTTTGCTCTTGAGGAAAACAATCTTTTTAGCAATTACTATCTACTTATAAGTATAACTTCCCAACTCTTCTAACAATAACTTTAAATGCAAAAATTTTTAAAAGACAATAGTCAAAATAAAAAATTTAACACCATTTTAGCCTAATTATTATGAAACATAGGCATTATGCTGCAAATGAGTGTCAATTATGAGATTGAAAAATATGATTTACAAGGTGCAGAAAGACTTAACAACATAAAGGCTTCTCATTTTATACTCTTTTAAGAAATTATGCAATTATGCAGCTTGCATAAAGTTACCATCCTTACTTAATATCTAATAACGCTAATTATTTAATGTAAAAAAATTTATTAACTAATTAAATTTAATTAAAATAAAAAAAAATTACTTTTTCCACTTTTTTTGCGCCTTAAAGTCGATCCGAGGTCTGTTTTTTTTTCAATTTTTTAAGGTCAAATTTCTTAGAATTCTAGGTTGATGGAGCAATTGTTTACCAATTCGTGTTAAGCGTCAAAAAACCTATAAGATTCACTTTAAGCGATCTCAAAAATAAAATAAAAAGTGAAATTTTCTTGTACTGTGTCATTAATACAAACATTTATATGATGTATTCCACGCCAAAGTGTAAGTCCATCTGTAATTACATCTCCGATATTTTTTTCTTTTAGTACTAATTGAGACTAGCTTCCATGAATTTTTTCAAATTTTTTTAGCAAGCCGTTTTCGAGTTATGGAATTTTGAAAATTGGAGAATTCTCATGACTTTTAATTTTTGAATGCTCATAACTTCCTTAAAAATGCATCAATTTTAAAAGTCTTTTTTTTTGAAAATGTGTGTTTTTAAACATACTTTTCAAAAAAAAAATCGATTTTTTTTAAAAGATATTACTATCAAATTTTTGAGTTTTAATGATAAAAAGTCATTTTTCTCATTTGTCGTAATGATCGATTTTTTCAAAAATTTTTCAAAAAAACTACTTTTTACGAAACTTTTAAGCCTAGCCCCATAATGGGCAAACAATTTTTACAATATTTTCGGAATTTTTCAAAAATTTTTGAATTTTCAATTTTTTAAAAATATTTTTGGTTTTTTTTATACTACGTACTTTTATGTATTTTGATGCGCTGATTACGAAAATCATAGTGAAAATACCCAAAAATTTGATTTTTATGGTGAAATCAATAAAAAAGTCCCAAATTTTATGGTTTTTTTCATTTATTGGGTAAAATATGCAAATTAAAAAAAATGCATAGGATAAAAAAAGGAATTTAATAAGATCTATAACTTTTGTTTAAAAGTTTTTTTTTAATTTTGCATACTTTACCCAATAAACGAAAAAAACCATAAATTTTGGGACTTTTTTATGGTTTTCACCATAAAAATCAAATTTTTGGGTATTGTCACTATGATTTTCGTAATCAGCGCAATCAAAATACATAAAAGTACGTAGTATAAAAAGAAACTCAAAAGATTTTTAAAAAATTCCGAAAATATTGTAAAAATCGTTTGCCCATTATCGGACAAGGCTTAAAAGGAGGCGCATGATTTTTCCCAAAAATTAAAAAGTTCGAAATTTTAATTCATCGAATTACTTTAAGTCGATATTTTATTTGGTCGAAATTCTAAATGTTCGACATTTAAAGTGGTCGAAATTTTATTTGTTCAATATTTTGTTTGGTCGATATTCTAAATGATAGAAATTTAGAAGCATCGAATTCTATATCCATCGAAATTTAATTTGGTCGATATTTTAAAAGCTCGACATTTTTTTAGCTATACGAGTTTCCTCTCTATGTTGTTATTATTATTTACATCAATAATTTCAAATTTCCCGCAAAATTTTAATGTACTTTACCAACAAACTACATAGAAAGGAAACTCGTATAGCTAAAAAAGTATCGAGCTTTTAAAATATCGACCAAATTAAATTTCGATGGATATTGGGATCGGCTAAACTGCAATACGCCATCTGGTGGGGACCCATTCTCTCCCTCCATTTTCTTTCTTTGCCTCTCTTCAATTAATAGGTTAGAAAGAGTAGAAAAAACAAAATGGAGGAAGAGAATGGGTCAAAGTTACTAGATTGTTACTAGACCACGCTTCTAAATTTCTATCATTTAGAATATCGAACAAATAAAATTTCGACCACTTTAAATGTCGATCATTTAGAATTTCGAATAAATAAAATATCGATCAAATAAAATGTTGACCATTTTAAATATCGATCATTTAGAATTTCGTTCAAATAAAATATCGACTTATGTAATTCGATCAATTCAATTTTCGACCTTGGGTAAGTCCACGTCAGAAATATCAGAATCTGCAAGTGGTTCTTCGATTTTAATGATACTTGGTAAAATTATAGCTTTATATAAGAGCAATGTGTAAGTAAAAGGAATTTTTAAAATATCTAAAATTGTAGGAGTTATATCACTTTTAATTTTGATACTGCATTTTTTTCTTTCCTTTATATCACGGACAATTTTCAACCGATTTTGATGAATCAAAAACGATTTTTTTCAGAAAATTACGTATTTTCAGAAAATTTTAAAATAAAAATAAAATTTTGTTATTTAAATAGAAAAAAGTAAAAAACAAAATTTCTTTTAGATTTTTTTTCAATTTCAACCTCTTTTTTTTATTTTTTATTTTTTAATAATATTCCTTTTTATTTTATTTTTAATTTTTTAATAATATTCCTTTTTATTTTATCTTTAATTTAAAAAAAAATTCATCCTGGAGACTTTTTTAGATCTCGTAATATCGTCCTTTAAGTATTATAAGTCTTCATCAATTTGAAAACCGCAGGACTTGCTTCTATCATTACTTTCATTTGTTTGTTGAAATTTTTTATGGTTATAAATAACTATTTGTTTTAGAATCCTCTAAAAAAAAGCGCTAAAAACGTCAGCTACAATTTCAGGTTGCATTGTTAAGGTTTCATTACAATTTTTTTTAAATTATAAATATTACAAAAAATAAAAACTTTGCTTCAAATCTATTAATAAAATATTGATTTGCTTGAATTTTCACTTGTTTTAGTCAAGTAATTTAAAAATAAAAACATTATTACGCGAAAGTTTCTAGTTTGTAACAATAATATTATAAAACAAATGAAAGTAGAAACACAAATCTGGATCCTAGTTTTCTTGAGATGTGGATATTTAAAGAACGATATCACGAGATCTAAAAAAGTCTCCAGGATGAATTTTTTTTTTAAATTAAAGATAAAATAAAAAGGAATATTATAAAAAAATTAAAAATTAAAAAAAAAGAGGTCGAAATTGAAAAAAAATCTAAAAGAAATTTTGTTTTTTACTTTTTTCTATTTAAATAACAAAATTTTATTTTTATTTTAAAATTTTCTGAAACTACGTAATTTTCTGAAAAAATCGTTTTTGATTCATCAAAATCGGTTGAAAATTGTCCGTGATATAAAGGAAAGAAAAAAATGCAGTATCAAAATTAAAAGTGATATAACTCCTACAATTTTAGATATTTTAAAAATTCCTTTTACTTACACATTGCTCTTATATAAAGCTATAATTTTACCAAGTATCATTAAAATCGAAGAACCACTTGCAGATTCTGATATTTCTGACGTGGACTTACCCCCTTTTTAATTTTTGGGAAAAATCATGCGCCTCCTTAAAAGTTTCGTAAAAAGAAGTAGTTTCTTGAAAAATTTTTGAGAAAAATCGATCAGTACGACAAATGAGAAAAATGACTTTTTATTATTAAAACTCAAAAATTTGATAGTAATATCTTTTAAAAAAAATCGATTTTTTTTTTGAAAAGTATGTTTAAAAACACACATTTTCAAAAAAAGACTTTTAAAATTGATGCATTTTTAAGGAAATTATGAGCATTCAAAAATTAAAAGTCATGAGAATTCTCCAATTTTCAAAATTCCATAACTCGAAAACGGCTTGCTAAAAAAATTTGAAAAAATTCATGGAAGCTAGTCTCAATTAGTACTAAAAGAAAAAAAAATCTCAAAAAAATCGCAGATGCAATTGCAGATAGACTTACACTTTGGCGTGGAAATACATCATATATATACCGATGTATATTTTGTACACAATTTTTTTCCTCAATGTTATTTAAAATGCAGAATAAAGTTCATCATTCAATTAAAAAAAAAGTCAATGCAATTGCAACTATATAATTAAAATATATTATCATCAAAATGCTTTTAAAAGGCAAAGAAAGAAAACAAAGATTTTTCTCCAGGAAAAATGGAGAGATATGTCAACTACATAGCAAGCCAACTGCAATCACTATGAAGTACAAATACCTTTTTCGGAACAATTTCTTCAATGGTACGATTCCTAGACACGAATCTGATAACACTAACCTCACTAGGTCTATCTGTACACGATTCTGTACCCTGACCCATTATTAAAAGTGTTTTCTATTTATTTCAAAATTTCATCAATAAATAGTCAACAATTCACATAACCTCTAAAGCTATATCAAATAGGCCTACAAGAGGCGTCATTTTTACCGAACACAATAACAAATTCACTAAAACTTACTTAAAAATATAATATATATGTATTTATTTAATGAAAAAACAATATATATATTGTTGATTATACAAGGATACACCTTGCGTTTAACATATATGAGGCAATGTTACAAGAGGAAAGCAAAAAATTATTGAAGATTTTTATCTGTTTTTATCACTAAAATATTAAGATGCTGTAGAAGACGAAGGCCGGCATCAACAACCATAATCCAACTATCAAGGTTCCACCACGCGCAAGATAAAAATAAACTCATATATTCAGAGCGTTTAAGTGAAATGACGACCATATTGGAAATTTACGCCGCACGTTTTTAAATCATGTATTTAAAAATAAAAATAAAAATAAAAAATTTAATTACAAAAGCTTATTTAGTAATTTAGAAAGAAAATTGAAAACACAAAACATATAATTTATTCTCATAAACATATTACGAAATTTAATTTAAAAAATTTTTGTTCACAAATTTGAAACGCATTAAGGGTATGTGGCAAGAAGACTAGAACCAGGAGGGGAAACTCCGTTGTAAAGATGCGGCGTGACAAACAAGCCACTAGAAGGCGTGGCTTATCGTTCGTGCATTGCTATTCAGACGAATTTCAGTGTTCTGCGCATACTTTCTTGACACTGATATTTGAAATGTAGCAGACGCTGTTTTTAAGTTTCTGTTTATGCGGTTATGGCAAATGGTTTATCCATAAATTTTTGGATGCGATTATATTTAATTAATTATATGTAACTAGCAAAATTAAACGCGCGCAAGCGCGCCAAATTGAGTGTTTAATTGTTTGTTATAAAGAAATTAAAGATTAATATTATCAATAATAATTTAATTTATTAGAATATTATTACATATTAAATGATAATAATGAAAATTATATGTTTACAAGCCTCGGATTATACGACTTTTTCTGACTTTTTTCAAAAATAAGACTTTTATCGACTTCTTTTAATAAAATGCGACATTTTTTTTAACATTTGAAAAAAATGTAAATAACATACATTTTTCTAGTATAAAATGTAGATCTTCATCATATCTTCTTCAATTAAATTATTTAACAAATTTTAAACTAAAATGATTCTTCACTACATTAATTAATTTTAATAATTTTAATGAAATACATCACAAATTCAATTATATCAAAATTATTTTTCAATTAAAATTTTTATGAAATTTAACAATTGTTTATAATTTTTAAAAAAAAATATCACAATAAAATTTAATTATTTTTTAAAAATTTCAATTCAAAATAAACTAAAATTCAATTATTACCCAAAATTTTAATTCAAAATCAATTAAAAATCCAATAATTATACAAAATTTTCAATTTAAAATTTAATTATTTACCAAGTTTTCAATTTAAAATGAAATAAAATTCAATTATTTTCTAAAATTTCTATTCAAAATTAATTAACCAAATTTTCAATCAAAAATGAACTTAAATTAAATTATTATCCAAAATTTCAATTAAAATTTAATTATTTACCAAGTTTTCAATTTAAAATGAAATAAAGTTCAATTATTTTCTAAAATTTCTATTCAAAATTAATTATCCAAATTTTCAATCAAAAATGAACTTCAATTAAATTATTATCCAAAATTTCAATTAAAATTCAATTATTTCCCAAAAATTTTCAATTTAAAATCAAATATAATTTCATTATTCTCAAAAATTGGAATTCAAAATTAATTGAATTTTCAATAATTTGAATTTAAAAGCATCTAAAATTTAATTATTTCTAAAATTTTACATCGAAATTTTTTTTTTTTGAAATTTAATAATTTCAATTATAACTCTAAGGAAATTCAATTATTTTTAACTATTTTAATAATATTCTTTGAAAATTCAACTATCTGAAACCATTTTTCAAATTATTGTATTTTGTCCGCATTTTCTAATAAATTTTTAGTGAAATCATCTAAAATTTTAATTACAAAACACTTAAAGTTTCAATTAATTTCAAAAATCTCAATTTTAAATCTTTGAAAATTCAATTAAATTTAAAAAATGTTTTCCAAAAATTGTTTGATAAATTATTTTCAGTTCTGGAAAATTTAATAATTGTTTGAAAATTAACAATATCTTTGAAATTTAATTATTTCTAAAAATTTCAATTTTAACCCTTCAAAAAGGATTATTATTAAAAAAAAAAAAAATTTTATTTAAAAATCTGTAAAATATTTTTGTTAAAATAAAAAACAAATCCACTTTTTTTTGGAATATAAATCGACTAAAACGACTTTTTTGTGTCTTTAAGTTGATTCGAGGCCTGTGTTTTTATAATTAATATTTAATAGGTATTCGTTGGCACCTGGTACCTTAAAAATTAATTTTTAAAAATAAATGTTTTTCAAATTACTATCTTATACGAAATTTCCTGGCACATCTTTTTTCTCATCATACATTTTTTGTACAATTTTTGAATCAATATACAACTTTAAAAAGAATTTCGTTGGTAAACGTTGTGTACTTCAGCTTCGTGAATTGAATTTTCGAATTTGGAATTTTAAAGAAACTTATTCCGAAATTTGGAAACACAATTATACAACTTTGGCAAAAATGAGAAAAAGAATTGTCAAAATTTGACACGTCATAAGATTACTATTCAAAAAAACACGTGAAATCAGAAAAGGCCAACTTCAAGTTAGGACAGAAGGACAGACCAAGCATTTTATTATTATATAATTTACCTAACCAAGCAGACGCAAACATTTGCAGCTGCTTGCTACGAAATTTCCCCTTCAAAACCTACATGGATAGTATGCGCAGAATTCGTAAATTCGTTCTATTAGCAGTGCACGAACTTAAACGACACGCCCACCGTGTGCACGCTTACCATGCCACTACTCACTGCGGTAAAGCGTGGAAGTTTCACCTCCTGGTTCTAGTCTTCTTGGTATGTGGGCAAAGGACGTTTTTTGTGGTTTCAAACTTTCTCTGCAAAAAAAAAAAGATTTCGGGTTAAAATTTTGGAAAAATGATTTTGTTTGGCGTAAGGAATCTCGCTATTCTTCTCATTTACTATATAACTTAACGCAAAAATAATAAAAATAAAGCAATAAATAGTAAAATAATGTGTTTTATCATAGTTCATTCAGCGGCCACTTGCTCGAATTGGCGCTGTTTACTGGAGCACTGACACACTCAAGCAACATCTTGGTTGTTTTCCATTGTCCCCACTCGCCATTTGTCATAATTCTCGTCAACTATCACACCCTGATCTAGTGAATGTTTAGTAACTTTATAGTAACTTTTAATTTTAACAATAAAATCAGTAAAATTTCACTAGAGCAGGGTGCGATAGTTGACAAGAATTATGACAAATGTCGAGTGGGGATTTTGGCGAGTGGGAACAATGGAAACCAACCGATTAGCAGAATAGATTTTAACCAATAAAAATAGAGTCTCTTACGGTAAATATTACCTTGCCACAAGAGACTGAATTTTGATTGGTTAAATTCTATTCTGCAATCAGGTTTGTATATTTCGGAAAATGCAAAATAAAATAATTTTTTACCAAAGGTGTAAATGCTCCATTTCGGTTGGTTTCCATTGTCCCCACTCGCCATTTGTAATAATTCTCAACAACTACCGCACTCTGCTCTAGTGAAAAATTAGTAACTTTTAATTTTAACAATAAAGTCACTAAATTTTCACTAGAACAGGGTGCGGTAGTTGACTAGAATTATGGAAAATGGGTATTTTGTCGTGTGGGGAAAATGGAAACCAACCTTTCATTGGACAGAAACAATGTTGTTAAATTTATTATTATTACTACTGAGTTATCTTGACTTAATTTTTACTTTTTTATTATAAACTGAAATATTTGATTTTGATACAATAAATAATTTGCATTTTTCAATTTATTTATTATTTAAATATGTTAAATCCTCATCCATAACTGCAAAATGGAACTGAATTCCATGCAATTAATAATTAGATAAATAAAGTATATTTAATTTATTTATAAAATCCACCTTTTTGAAAGTCACTGTTTAACAACAAAAAATTTGTCTTTTGCGATTTTTTTCAAAATTTATGGTGCCTTCTTGCTTCTTACGTCCAGTGTGACTCGTGGTGGGGATACTCTCGTCGTTCATTATGCTGACTCTACATTGGCTGCATAAACGTGACTGTGCTTAAAGCATAGAGATAATATAAATAGAGTAGACAAGGTATAGGCGGCTGCGTAAGAGGGAAGTGTCCTGACATAAACAGAATGGGTTGGAAAGAGAAGAAAGATTTAACACCAGTATCTGTCCTTCAATAAGCACCAGCGCAAGAGAGACACCTACTGGTGCTAAAATCGCGTTCTCTTTCTATCAAACGGACGCCTCTATACAGACCATCTCCACTCTATTTATATTATCTCTATGGCTTAAAGCCCGACTGTACTTACAATCTATTGTAGAAACACTTTGATATGACTGATTAATTTGTGGTTAAGTTAAAGGATAAAATTCAAAAGATTTTAAAGAATTTCTTAAAATCTAATTTCTACAACTACAACACTTTTTGAAGTAGTAAGTTTGTCTAAAACTAATTCCTCTATATTGACATGAATTCTACGATCATTAGAGCGAAAATTAATTAATTGTAAATACAAAATTGAAACTAAATATTATAAAAAATGTCATCAGAAATTTTGAACTCATTAAATTTGAATTGTGAATTAATTTTATTATATAATTTTTTTTTGATTTTATTATTGTCAATATTAAAAGTACGATTAAATTAATTTTCTAAATATACAACTTATATGTATGCTTGAAATATATAATAAAATTTTTAATGTCTGAACTTGTTTGAGCAGACGACGAAAAATTGGGTAAATTTGTAAACATAACATTTGCACGTGACTTATAGGATAGATTAGATTTTATATTTATGAGGTAAAAAATGTTTTTTTAAAACTATTTGAAATAAATATTTTTTAAATATACATTTTTTATTTCTAATCAAAATGAAATTTAATTTAGAATAATCAAAAATATAAACACTTGACATTATGATTTTATATTTTTGATTATTATTATTAAAATTAAACTAATAATTCATTAAACTAATTAACTTTTAAATTAATTGAATTTTAATTTAATTCTAATTTTTTTTCCATTCAAATTTTATAATCGATTTAAATTGCTTAAACTTTTAATCAATTCTACTTTTTATTGGTCAAAACAAATGTATTAATTAAAATATAAATCAAATGCAATCTATGAAAAGATTAATGGCTTTAAGTTTTAATCTGAATTTTATTTTATTCAAATTACTATTTGTCAAAATTTTAATTTACTTAATTTTAAAATTATTCAAATTAAAATTGATTTAAGTTTCAAATTATTCAAATTTTTAATTATCCAAATTTTAACTGATTTAAGTTTCAAATTATTCAAAATTTAATTTACCCAAATTTGAATTGACTTTTAATTTTAAATTATTCTAATAAATTATTCATATTATTCTAATTATTCATCTAAATTTTGATTGATTTAAATTTCAATTTATCAAAAATAAAATTTATCCAAATTTTCAACTGTTAATTCTTCAATTATTGATTAAAAATTTCAAATAATCCTCATTTAAATAAATAAAAATTCTTTATTTTGCATATTAATCAGTTTTCATTATTAGTTTTTTTTTTAATCACTTTTTTGTCACCTATTTTTGGTAAATAATTCACCTTTTTACAAGGAAAGAAAATAATCAAATTTTATAAAAGCATTTTCAAATTTTGTAAAAGTATTTTCAAGAAAGTGGAAAATATTGTAAAAAGCGAAATTTCCGTATAAGAAATACTAATCTTTAATAAACTTTGATGAAATTTACTATAGTTATAATGAAATTTTGTAGAATGTATTTGATTCATTATTAAATGATATTAAATTTTATTATAACTATAGTAAATTTCAAAAAAGTTTATTAAAGATTAGTATTTCTTATATGGAAATTTCGCTTTTTACACTATTTTTCACGACTTGAAAATACTTTTACAAAATTTGAAAATGCTTTTATAAAATTTTAAATTTATTTTCTTTCCGTGTACCTATTTTCAAGAAATTTTTTGTTAAATTATATAATAATAAAATGCTTGGTCTGTCCTTCTGTCCTAACTTGAAGTTGGCCTTTTCTGATTTCACGTGTTTTTTTGAATAGTAATCTTAATAACGTGTCAAATTTTAACAATTCTTTTTCTCATTTTTGCCAAAGTTGTATAATTGTGTTTCTAAATTTCGGAATAAGTTTCTTTAAAATTCCAAATTCGAAAATTCAATTCACGAAGCTGAAGTACACAACGTTTACCAACGAAATTTTTTTTAAAGTTGTATATTCATTCAAAAATTGTATACAAATACAAAAAATTTATGATGAGAAAAAAGATGCGCCAGGAAATTTTGTACAAGATAGTAATTTGAAAAAAATTTATTTTTAAAAATTAATTTTTAAGGTACCAGAGGCCAACGAATACCTATTAAATATTAATTATAAAAGCACAGACCTCGAATCAACTTAAAGACACAAAAAGTCGTTTTAGTCGATTTATATTCCAAAAAAAAGTGGATTTGTTTTTTATTTTAACAAAAATATTTTACAGATTTTTAAATAAAAAAATTATTTTTTTAATAATAATCCTTTTCGAAGGGTTAAAGTTGGAATTTTTAGAAATAATTAAATTTCAAAAGATATTGTTAATTTTCAAACAATTATTAAATTTTACAGAACTAAAAATAATTTATCAAACAATTTTTGGAAAACATTTTTTAAATTTAATTGAATTTTCAAAGATTTAAAATTGAGATTTTTGAAAGTAATTGAAACTTTAAGTGTTTTGTAATTAAAATTTTAGATGATTTCACTAAAAATTTATTAGAAAATGCGGACAAAATACAATAATTTGAAAATCATTTTTAATTGAAAACTGGTTTCAGATAGTTGAATTTTCAAAGAATATTATTAAAATAGTTAAAAATAATTGAATTTCCTTAGAGTTATAATTGAAATTATTAAATTTCAAAAAAAAATTTCGATGGAAAATTTTAGAAATAATTAAATTTTAGATGCTTTTAAATTCAAATTATTGAAAATTCAATTAATTTTTAATTCAAATTTTTGAGAATAATGGAATTTTATTTGATTTTAAATTTGGAAAATAATTAAATTTCAGTTCATTTTGAATTGAAAATTTATGAAACTGAAACTGGCACCCAGTTATCAACTTCAAGTTAATTTTTGAAAAAATTTATGTTGGTACTAACATATAAACAAATGAATGAAACATATAAAACAGTTTGACAATTCTTACGCAAATTACGAAAATCCTTAGGTTATAATTTAAAAACAAAAGAATGAAATTCAATCACATTCAAACCACGTCATCAAACACTGAATGGAAATATATGATTGATAAAAATAATAAAAATAAAAATTAAATTATTAATATTTATAATAAAAACAATAAAAATAGAAGAACAAGTAATATTTAATCTAGATTTAAGTTTTAGTCAAGGCGAAAGTTATAAATTTTTTTAGAATTTTTTTTGCAATTTTCCGGAAAAAAATATTTTTTGAAGGGGCTGATGTCCGCGTACCGTCTTCTAATGATTTTTTCGTACTTTCTAGGAGTAAGTGGAAGCTAAAAAAAATTAATTCATATTTTAATTTTCGTCAAGGCGAAAGTTATGAATTTTTTTCGAATTTTTTTTGCAATTTTCCGGAGAAAAACTTTTTTTGAAGGGGCTTATGTCCGCGTACCGTCTTCTAACATTTTTTTCGTACTTTATAGGAGTAAGTGGAAGCTAAAAAAAAATAATTCATATTTTATTTTTCGTCAAGGCGAAAGTTATGAATTTTTTTAGAATTTTTTTTGCAATTTTCCGGAAAAAAACATTTTTTGAAGGGGTTGATGTCCGCGTACCGTCTTCTAATGTTTTTTTCGTACTTTGTAGGAGTAAGTGGAAGTTAAAAAAAATTATTTTATGTTTTAGATTTCGTCAAGGCGAAAGTTATAAATTTTTTCCGAATTTTTTTTGCAATTTTCCGGAAAAAAACATTTTTTGAAGAGGTTGATGTCCGCGTACCGTCTTCTAATGTTTTTTTCGTACTTTCTAGGAGTGAGGGGAAGCTAAAAAAAATTATTTTATGTATTAGATTTCGTCAAGGCGAAAGTTATGAATTTTTTTTGCAATTTTCCGGAAAAAAACATTTTTTGAAGGGGTTGATGTCCGCGTACCGTCTTCTTATATTTTTTTCGTACTTTATAGGAGTAAGTGGAAGCTAAAAAAAATTATTTTATGTTCAAGATTTCGTCAAGGCGAAAGTTATAAATTTTTTTAGAATTTTTTTTGCCATTTTCCGGAAAAAAACTTTTTTTGAAGGGGCTTATGTCCGCGTACCGTCTTCTAATGTTTTTTTCGTACTTTCTAGGAGTAAGGGGAAGCTAAAAAAAATTATTTTATGTTCAAGATTTCGTCAAGGCGAATGTTATAAATTTTTTTCGAATTTTTTTTGCAATTTTCGGGAAAAAAACTTTTTTTGAAGGGGCTTATGTCCGCGTACCGTCTTCTAATGTTTTTTTCGTACTTTCTAGGAGTAAGGTGAAGCTAAAGAAAAATAATTCAAATAATTTAATTTTAATTGAAATTTTGGATAATAAATTAATTTAAGTTCATTTTTGATTGAAAATTTGGATAATTAATTTTGAATAGAAATTTTAGAAAATGATTGAATTGCAATTAAAATTTTTCAAAATAATTGAATTTTAATTGATTTTGAATTGAAATTTTGAAAAATAATTGAATTTCAATTAATATTAAATTGAAACTTTGGAAAGTAATTGAATTTTACTTGATTTCGGATTGAAAATTTTGAAAATAATTGAATTGTAGTTGATTTTAAATTGCAAATTTTGGAAAATAATTGAATTTCAATAGGAATTTTTAGAAAATAATTGAATTTTAGTTGATTTTCAATTGAAATTTTGGAAAATAATTGATTTTAAATCGAAAATTTTGAAAATAATTGAATTTTAGTTAATTTTAATTTGCCAATTTTGAAAATAATTGAATTTCAATTGAAATCTTAGAAAATAATTGAATTTTAGTTAATTTTCAATTGAAATTTTGGAAAATAATTGAATTTTAGTTGATTTTGAATTGAAAATTTTTTAAATAATTGAATTTTAATTGAAATTTTAGAAAATAATTGAATTTTAGTTGATTTTGAATTGAAGTTTTGGAAAATAATTGAATTTCAATTAAAATTTTTCAAAATAATTGAATTTTAATTGACTTTGAATTGAAAATTTTGGGAAATAATTGAATTTTAATTGAAATTTTGGATAATAATTAAATATTTAAGTTCATTTTTGATTGAAAATTTGGATAATTAATTTTGAATAGAAATTTTAGAAAATTGATTTTTATTTCATTTTAAATTGAAAACTTGGTAAATAATTAAATTTTAAATTGAAAATTTTGGATAATTATTGGATTTTTAATTGATTTTGAATTAAAATTTCGGGTAATAATTGAATTTTAGTTTATTTTGAATTGAAATTTTTAAAAAATAATTCAATTTTATTGTGATATTTTTTTTTAAATTATAAACACTTGTTACATTTCATAAAAAATTTAATTGAAAAATAATTTTGATATAATTGAATTTGTGATGTATTTAATTAAAATTATTAAAAATAATTAATTTAGTGAAGAAACATTTTAGTTCAAAATTTGTTAAATAATTGAATTGAAGAAGATCTGAAGAAGATATAAATTTTATACTAAAAAAATGTATTTTATTTACATTTTTTTTCAAATGTAAAAAAAATGTCGCATTTTATTAAAATAAGTCGATAAAAGTCGTATTTTTGAAAAAAGTCGGAAAAAGTCGTATAATCCGAGGCCTATAAACATATAATTTTCATTATTATCATTTAATATGTAATAATATTCTAATAAATTAAATTATTATTGATAATATTAATTTGGCGCGCTTGCGCGCGTTTAATTTTGCTAGTGCTTTTATAAAATTTTAAATTTATTTTCTTTCCGTGTACCTATTTTTAAGAAATTTTTTGTTAAATTTATTAATAAAATGTATATTTTATAAAATCGAAACTTTAGAATTTAAAGTGATCCAATTTTAATTATTACAGAATATTTGGCAATTTGATTTCAAAAAGATGCCTGTAATTTATAAAGAAGGAAAGGACACAATTATTTTCAATTCTGAGGAGGAATATGCGACCCCTAGTAAAATTAGTCTCCCTGAAATAGAACCAAGTCCCGGTCTCATTTTGTCTAATGGGGAAATAAATTGGAATTGTCCTTGTCTTGGTGGTATGGCAACAGGACCATGTGGCGTTGAATTTCGAGAAGCATTTTCCTGTTTTCATTATTCAACATCCGATCCAAAAGGCCATGAATGCTATGATGCTTTTAAATTAATGCAAGGTTGCATGACAAATTATCCTGGATTGTATGGCAATAAAGAAATAAATATGGATGAAACTGCTGATAATGAACAAACATCAAAAGAAGATAATATGAAAAGTTTAAATGATAATGAAGTATTACACTTACAACAAGAAAACAAAACAGAATTAGTGAGCAAAAAGTAGTTTATAAATAAATTAGATAATGTTTTACAATACTTGTAAAAAAAAAATCAAAGCATTTTTATTGCATAAACTCCTATTTCCTTCAGTGTTTATATCTTCTACATTATTAATTCAATTTTGATCTGCAACGACTTATTTTTATCGTAAACACGCTTTTTTTATGAAGGTAATTTACAGAAAAAGTCAATCATTTTCTTAAATTTTGTTAAAAATAATGAGAAATTCCAGAAAATTTATAAATACCTCCTAAATCGTCAGTCTAATTAAAATATGTGTGACTTTAACAGTTAAAAGGGACCTTACGTCCGAAATCAAGTTTTCGAGAAAAACGACTTCAAAGTCGAAAATGATGCTCCTGCACGTTGAAATCGCTTGAAACTCTTTACTCAGGGGTTTTTCTGGTCGCTGATTATGAATCTGCCATCAGATTTTCAAAATTCAAAATGGCGGATCCAATATGGCACCTGAAAAAATGAAAGAATCATATGGATTCGCTTCAAACATATTGTAAGTTTAACAAATTGAAATGAAACTTGTTACTCGGGGGGTTTTTGAGGTCGCTGATTATGAATTTGCCATCAGATTTCAAAAATTTTAAATGTCTTAAAACTCGTTTAATAATCTGATGTAAAATTCGTAATCAGCAATCTCAAAAACTCCCCGAGTAAGAAGTTTCAAGCAAATTGAACTAATTTTTAATTTTGTCATCCGCCAAATTGGATCCGCCATTTTGAATTTTCAAAATCTAATGCCAGATTCGTAATCAGCGACCTCAAAAACCCCTGAGTAACGTGTTTCAAGCAAATTTGATCAATTTTTATTCACCTATTTTCTACTTAAATTTCTTACGAATTTTTTAACCAGTTGCGTCCATCTTTGAAACGTATTTGTACAAAGACTAATGAAGCTGGAGATGTGCGGTTTGTTGCATTATAAAGAACACATCTTTTTCTATAAGAATCAACAGAAAAGTGAAAATTAATTTTTTCGGACATAAGATCCCTTTTAACTGTCCTGGTCACATGTTATAAATACATAATTGTTTATAAGAAATTACCTTTAATTTATTTTAAAGAAAATTGAAATCAGTCAACTACATCTGGAGATAATTGTAAATTATCATAAATCATGATTTATTATTTTTTTTTTCGAAACTCAAAACATTGAAATTTAGCTATAGAGTTAAAATTTTTAAAGTGGACCACCCAAATTAAAGATGTACTGTATTTGCTTGGAAATATAGAAAATTAAAACATTATTATGAGTTGAAAAACTACCTCAAAGGATTTTTCAAAAAAAAAAAAATACTAAAGAAGTTACTATAAATTGATCACAAAAAATCTCTATGGGGAAGCAAAGTGTTTATGAAATGAACACAAAAAGTTTATACTTCAACTTGGCAGCGGTTTTTTTATTATTAATAATAATTAGTCAGGAAAATTATTTATTATTAACATCGATGTTAATATTTCGTAAAAAAAAATTTGACTCTTCAGTACTGTAAAAATTGTAAAAAGTTGTTTTAAGCAAATAAAATTTGAAATTTAAGATAATGTTTAAGGTACATAAAATCAAAAATTTATGAAATTTCATAACATATTTATTTAAAGACAATCCAAACAAAACTCTTAATTTTTCAACTTGACATCATTTAATGAAAAATTTATTTGTAGAATATTGAGAAATTTATTGTTGAATATTGAAAATTGTTGAGTTTTATTTAAGTTGTCATTCTCAAATAGTTTTATTTTAAATGTAATTAGAAAAAAGGAGATATCACTATTTCTCAGAAATATGATTATCTTTAGCAGCGAATTTATCAAATATATTTGAATAAAGTTTCTTCTCTGCGGCAAGTTGTTTCTTCTTAAGATTGTTACAGGCAGTTATTTGCTTCACAGCAGCGGTATTATTTGGTTCAATTTTAACCACCTGTTCAAAATCTTTAATTGCTATTTCAGGTGACGCTAAGGCAAGATGTGCCTGACCTCGTCGAAAAAGTGCCTTTTCATTACTGGGATCAATTTCCAAAGCTTTATTACAATATTCTTTTGCTTCATTATATTGCTCAATTTTTAAGTAGCAAAGTGCAAGATTTAAATAAGTCGCAAGTAAAATACTATCTCTTTCGATTTTCGAGTCGTCACTAAAAAGTTTATCGTAAGATATATAATTATTTATCTTTCGATACATTTCAATGGCAATATTAAATTTATTTTGTTTAAAATAATTTGTTCCTTTTTCTTTTAGAATTTTTGCTTGTTCAATTTTTTGTGGATTATCCATTGACCATGAATCAGGTGTCTAGATAAAGAAAATAAAATTATATAAGATAAATGTATTAGAAAAAAAAAATACTCGTCATTGAGATAATGCAACTGCTCTGTAAGTTGAAAAAAAAATGCTGGTCTTGTAAAAATTTTCAACAACTTAAATCAAAATACAGTTACAGTTGTTTTATCCAAAACTAAAATAGTTAAACGAATAAAACGAATAGAATAAAAATTATATACCTTTTCGAAACTTTTCAGCTCCACTTCATACACTACATCTGTATCTGGAGGAATATTAAATTCAGATTTTCCACTTTTTCCAAAGGCATATTTGCTCTTGATTTTTAATCTAGCAGTTTCTCCATTCTTTAGCTTTTCTAATGCTAATTCTACTCCTTTCACAACTCCTACGTCTTCTCCTTCTCCAAGATTAAATTGAACATCCCTTTCTTCAAAGAGTCTATCTTCGCATTTTCCCACCAAATGAACTGAAAGTTAAAACGTTAAATACCTTCAACTGCACATTTTTTTTAAAAAAATACACAAAGTAAATTCCAAGAAAAATTTACATTCCACATTTTAAATCAGTTAAAATATACATTTATTTTCTTCCTCAGAGAAAATTTCCTAGATAAACGAAGCGTTTGAAAAATATAATGCATTATTGGAACACTGAGCAAGAAAAAAATTAATAACTTCGTTTTAAATTAAAAAATGAAGCATTAGAATGAAGAATCATTCAAAGAATAGTTTAAAATAAAACGCGCACGGTGGGTCTGAATAAAGTTCAACCCAAAAGTGCTTGTGTATCAAAATTTCTTCCTGATTTCTTTTCTAGGGTGTCTCCTGATAACTTTGAGCCCAAAAAAGAAAAAATCGCTTGGGCCTTTTTTGAAAAAACTCATTTTTTCGATATTTTGAAAATATCACTAAACATATTTTTTAAGAAAATGGAAGGTTATTAAAGTTTTAAATCATTTAAATTCACATAAATCAAAAGTCCCTAGGTGCTGAATTCCATGCAACAAATAAAATCCACAAAAAAAACTTGAAAAACCGTGTAAAATGTGTTAAAAAGTCAGTTTTTTGAAAATTACTCTCTTCCATTGCATTTTAACCAGTTAAAGACCTATACGTAAATTAAAGCTTATAAAATTTTCTGTAAATTAAAAAAAAATTGATCGAATTATCTTTAAAACTGTTGGAGTTATGACCTGCAGAGTGCGAAAAATTTCCAAACAAAAAATAATAATTTCAGATTTTGTGAAATAACTAGTTTCCAGTAAATCTAAAAATACTTCTACTTTGAAACAATTAAAGTTGACATAATTTTGAGGAAATCAAAAAAAAAAAAAATAGCCTTCCAGCTTAATTAGAACCGAAGTTATAACCGTCTGAAAATTACTCTCTTTCGTTTTATTAATTTTTATTTCTATAAGATCAACTATTTTAAATTTGTTTAATTTGGACAATGTTAGTTCTAAAAATTATCAAGTTTTTGTTAAGATTGTTTAAAAGTTGTTTGTTCATAATAATAATATATTTCTTATTTTCTAATTTGATTAACTTAATATTACTGATTTTATAACTAACATTGTCCAAATTAATCAAATTTAAAATAGTTGATCTTATAGAAATAAAAATTAATAAAACGAAAGAGAGTAATTTTCAGACGGTTATAACTTCGGTTCTAATTAAGCTGGAAGGCTATTTTTTTTTTTTTTGATTTCCTCAAAATTATGTCAACTTTAATTGTTTCAAAGTAGAAGTATTTTTAGATTTACTGGAAACTAGTTATTTCACAAAATCTGAAATTATTATTTTTTGTTTGGAAATTTTTCGCACTCTGCAGGTCATAACTCCAACAGTTTTAAAGATAATTCGATCAATTTTTTGTTAATTTACAGAAAATTTTATAAGCTTTAATTTACGTATAGGTCTTTAACTGGTTAAAATGCAATGGAAGAGAGTAATTTTCAAAAAACTGACTTTTTAACACATTTTACACGGTTTTTCAGGTTTTTTTGTGGATTTTATTTGTTGCAAGGAATTCAGCACCTAGGGACTTTTCATTTATGTTAATTTAAATGATTTAAAACTTTAATAACCTTACTATTATCCATTTTCTTAAAAAATATGTTTAGTGATATTTTCAAAATATCGAAAAAATGAGTTTTTTCAAAAATGGCCCAAGCGATTTTTTCTTTTTTGGGCTCAAAGTTATCAGGAGACATCCTAGAAAAGAAATCAGGAAGAAATTTTGATACGCAAGCACTTTTGGGTTGAACTTTATTCAGACCCACCGTGGCGCGTGTAAATTATTGTATGGAAAAATATTAAGAAATTTTTATTTTAGAACGAGTTGAAGTGAAAATTTTAATTAAAAGTGATTTTGAGAAAAATTTAGTTTTTTTTTTTCAAAAACGGTTAGAAATAGAAAAAAATTTATGAGAAGAAAAAAAAATGCGCCAAGAAATTTCCTACAAGATAGTAATTTGAAAAAATTGATTTTTAAGATGCCAGGGGCCAATAATACCGCTGTAGAAATTTTATGTGCCGTTTTAATATTCGGCGGCTCAAATGTGGACTATAAATTTAATAAGAAATATAGAAAAATTAAGTTTTCATAAATTCCTAAAGAAATTTAGAAAAATCTTTACATGCCCAAATAATTTGAAAATTTTTTAAATAAAATTACAAAATAGAAAATTTTTGTGTTTTTTGTTAGTATTAAAAATAAATTTTTTTTTTAAATTATTAATAAATATACCATTCACTAATGCTCCATCATTTGGACTTGTCATATCTATTCCTTTTCGTAATTGGATTTTTTCAATACTACCATCCTTTTCTGGACTTATATCCATACCACTCCATCCTAACATTTCTATCTAAATATATATATATATTAATTAAATTTTCATTATTATGTTAATTAAATTGTTAAATGTTAGTTTTAAAAAAGAAACTTTTCTAATAAATTATAAAAACCTCAAACTTAAGAGTTGCATTAGGAGGTATTTTTGGTGGACTTCCTCCTTTTCCATATGCGTATTTTGGTGCACATGTAAGTACTGCAACTTCGCCTTTTTTCATAGTTGCTGTTCCAATTTCCCATGCTTTAATTACTCTTCCCTCACCGAGTTCAAATGAAAATGGTTCATTGCGATCTTTACTAGAATCAAATTTTGTTCCATCTAATAAGGTACCAGTGTAATGCACCTTAACAGTACAACCCGGCGATGGAAGTTCATCTCCTTCTCCTTCTTTTAAAATTTCTTTTAGGACACCATCGTCCTTTTCCAATGAAATATCTACAGCCATTCTGTTAAATAAACAAAAAAAAAGCATTGCAGTCTATACTTTACTGAAAATCTATAAATTAAAACATTTTTTAATTTTTGAAAAAAATCGTTTTTTGTATTTTTTGAAATAACTTTTTTCTTCATGAAAATTTTTAATAAATTTTGTTGCATTCCTGACATTAAAACAAATCGATTGGTGTATATAAAGTTTACATTTTATCAATATTTATAAAAAAAATGAACAACTTTTTAACTTGTTTTTAAATTAATTAAATTTCAAAAGTGCTTAGTCCATTAACATAATCTCAAACTAAAAAATTGTTTTTAACAACAAATAAAAGTATAAATAAAATTAATTTTATTAAATTTTGAAAGATTCAGTTGCACGGTTTTTAAAATAAATTATTTTGCGCAAAAATTTGTTATTAAATAATTGTTATTTCACTTATATATATATATATTTTGTTTTGTTTAAAGTTGGTGAACAGTTGTAATTTTTATCCAACAATAGTTCATTCTGCTCTTTCAAAGATATTCTGCAATTTTGTTCGTTAAATTTTATTAATAATTTTTTGTTCAATAGTTAGTAATCAAATCAAATTTTTAAATAAATAATTGAATTTATCACTCGGTCGTCTTAATTAAAATATGAAAAACAAATTGAACCATCACTTCGAGTTATTAATAATATATATTTAATAACGAAACTTTTAAGCCTTTATAGACCTCGATCGGATAAAAAATGACAATTCTACACTAGATTTATTGAACAAAGTACTTTTTCACTTTTAATATATTTTCAAGTGATTTCGATCTATATCAGTTTTGTATAAAACTAAGTTAAACGAAGCTCACCAAAATGATTACTCGGGGGTTTAAGGGGTCGCTGATTACGAATCTGAGGTCAGTTTTTCAAAATTCATTTCTAATTATTAAAATTTTGTCCGCCATATTGGATCCGCCATTTTGAATTTTGAAAAACTGACCTCAGATTCGTAATCAGCGACCCCTTAAACCCCCGAGTACTCATTTTGGTGAGCTTCGTTTAACTTAGTTTTATACAAAACTGAGATAGATCGAAATCACTTGAAAATATATTAAAAGTGAAAAAGTACTTTGTTCAATAAATCTAGTGTAGAATTGTCATTTTTTATCCGATCGAGGTCTATAAAGGCTTAAAAGTTTCGTTATTAAATATATATTATTAATAAAAAATTTAAAACTTGCCTTTTTTTGATTGTTTGACTTTGAAAAAATTAGCGAAAGTTAGGCGAATGTCTAAAAATCATTAAAATTTTCTTGAAATTTGAACTTTAATCGACTGTAACTCTGACAATTTTGAATGGATTTTATTGGTTGACCAATGCTTTGAAAGGTTACTTTGCTGTTACAAAAAAATTGCACGAGAAAAGAAAATTTAAAAATATGATTTTCTTACTCAAAAAACACACATTAATCAAAAAAAAAATTTTTTGTTCGAATGATAAAAAAAATTTGGAAATTTGTAAATCTGTGTTAGTATGTGACTTAATTAATGACGATGAATAAAAATATCCATCACGTTAACCATAAAATATTACGAAATCAAGAATTGTCAAAATTTTAGAAAAACAAGAGGAAAAAAAAACGACTAACTTTAAGTGTGGACAGACGGAATGAATGAATGAATGAATACGGAAATTATTATTATTATATAAGGTTAATATATTTATTGTAAGCGAAAATTTGTTGCTCAAACATAAAATTACTTTTTACAAATTTCACGTTAACATTTTTATTCCTGATTTACATGATTCTATTTGTTATGGTTAAATTTATATAGTTTAGAAAAAATGAGAAAAATTTTAACTATAATAAATTCTTATTAAATTATCTTTTAAATCATCTATTGATCGTTTAATACTGCTTCAAAGATTCTGAAATCCGGGATAATTTTTTTTAATTTTGATTCAGAGCTTTGTCTTTGAATTAAAAATTAAGTATTTATAAAATAAACTTTTTTTTTTGACAATTACTAAATTTCATAACAATCACTTAATTATTAATTCACTTCAAAAATTTGTATATTGAAATGCAAGTCATCAAACACCCGTCAAAGAGAAGTGCTACAGTTTGTAATATATGTGAAATTAAATTTACTTCAAATCATATACAATAATTTATAAACAATTATTTAAATTTTTTAATTAATAAATTATTTATTTTCTAACAATTTTCATGATTTCACACAAACACAAGTTGGAATTAATAAGAATTTTAAAAAAACTATTATTTCATAATAATTTTCTATTACATTGATTAACATAGTATATTTATTCTTTTTAATACTATTTATCTCTAATAGACAAATAATAAAAATAAACAGGAATTTTATTTATAAATTGATTTGTTTATACTTACTTTTCAATCTACTGCTTTTCCACTTGTTAACCCTAACAGTGCACTTTTACAATAAATGAATAGAGATCAGGGTTGAGAAGTAATGCTCTAAATCAGAGAAGAAATTTTTGAGGTGCCGTAAAAACTTATAATCATTAGTTGTCAAAATCACCACTTGTCCGAAAAACAATAAAGGTGCTTATATACCTCAAATTTCGATCAGATGAACATTATTTCTGGACCGTGAAAATGCGTGAAAAGTCATTTTCACGGCGGGTATTTTTGAATTGTTTTATACAAAAAATGTTTTCTTAAGAAATATAATATTAAATAATTGTTTTAATATGTAAGAACACTTTAAAATAGTGATAGAGAGATGATTTGATTAAAAAATTTAGCAAATTTTGCTTTAAAACGTTTTCTGCTACAAGAAAGTGTAAAATGACGATGTTTGTGAAATGGTTTGTACAGTGCTTCTTCCTTGTGAGTGTCTCTCAGAGTTTTGTTTATGTTATGTCGGTTCTTTTTAACTTGTAATAAATAATGAGTGCTGAAAATAAATCGGTAAGTTGAAATGTTTATCAAATAAATTTAAATTCAACTAATTGTTTCGAATAACTGAAAGAAACATGTACACATGTACACTGTACAAACCATTTCACAAACATCGTCATTTTACACTTTCTTGTAGCAGAAAACGTTTTAAAACAAAATTTGCTAAATTTTTTAATCAAATCATCTCTCTATCACTATTTTAAAGTGTTCTTACATATTAAAACAATTATTTAATATTATATTTCTTAAAAAAACATTTTTTGTTTAAAACAATTCAAAAATACCCGCCGTGAAAATGACTTTTCACGCATTTTCACGGTCCAGAAATAATGTTCATCTGATCGAAATTTGAGGTATATAAGCACCTTAATAATTATGATTATTGTACAGGTTCGATAGTGTTCGTAGCGCCAGGCATCTTTTAGAAGAACTAAATTCGTTCAAAGAATGAGTCACTCCCACTACTAGAGTTTCCTGTTTAGCTACTCTAGCAGACATATATATATATATATACCGGTTTATAAACAAAACCTGACAAAACCAACCTATTTTGTGTTTTGAAAGTGCCCACTGATTGTAAAAGCCATAAAAAAACAAATGACACTTAAATATTTAACTGTAATTTAGGAATTTCATTAAAATGAGTAACAAAGGTGAGGACAAAGTAGTAAATAAAAATAAATTAGTTTAATAATTCTGTGGTTGAAAGGCATAACAGCATAACTGCGTTTCTCATGATTTCGAAGAAAACAAGTTTTACTGTTCTCTTCCCGGCTGAAAAAACTTGTACAAAAAAATGTACAAGTTCTTGTACATGTTCAAGTAATGTTCTTAAACAAGTTCAGTACAAGTACTTTTACATGAACACGTTTATGTTCTTGTACAAGAACATTTGTTTAAAAATGTTTTTGAAAAAAATTTGAAATTTCAATTAGTTATAATTATGAAAACTCTTCACTTATGCATGCTAAAAATTATTGCTTAGCTATGAAGGCTTAAGAAAACTACTGCGCAGCATTTAAAGTTTTTAATTTTCAATTTAAAAGACAGAAATGAACATGTACAAGAAATGTCCAGGAAGTTAGCACCGCAAACTACTTTTATTTAAAAAACAAAAATTGTGCTGAATTGTGCTAAATTGTGCCACAAAAAAAATTTTTTTTAAGTTAATATTTTTCATAAAAAAACCAAAAAACGTTTATAAGGCCCAAAACTGCAATCTTTAAAAATTGAATAATGCTCACTTGTGCTGAGTCACCCTTACATAGCTCAACATTGTGCAGTAAAAATTTATTCAAAAAAAAAAATTTCTAACTGTGCCATTCCAGGAGTTTTTTAGCACTTTTCGGAGTAACCTTTCCAAATTAAATGAAACATTTTTTTAATAATATTTATTAATATAAAGGTCCAAAAAAATCACTTTTTAAGTAAAAACAATTGTTTATTTAAAAAATACAACAATAAATAATGCAAAAAATTCACTTTTTTCCTGCAACTCCAAAAAAATTGGTTTAAAGATCAAAATTTTCCTTATTTTTCAAGCTTTAATACCGCACAAGAAACATTGAGTCCGAGAAAATATTCAACTCACAATTTTTTAAACAATGTTTGTTTACTTTTTTGTATTTTATTTACTGTGAAACGTCTGCTAAAGCTGCGCGCGACGTTTGGAAGTTGTCGCTTTCCTTATTGAGCAGAAGCTCATTACACTAGCGTAGTAAAAAACATGTTGTGTGAAAAGTGAAGTTTTTCATCCTTCAAAAATGTTTTTTATGATTTTTTACTGCAAAGTAGATAATTAAAAACCATTCAATGTGATAACCAGAAATTTTTACGTTTCGTTTAATGACAACATAACCTCACTTTTTGCACAACATGCTTTCTACTACGCTAGTGTAATGAGCTTCTGCTCAATAAGGAAAGCGACAACTTCCAAACGTCGCGCGCAGCTTTAGCAGACGTTTCACAGTAAATAAAATACAAAAAAGTAAACAAACATTGTTTAAAAAATTGTGAGTTGAATATTTTCTCGGACTCAATGTTTCTTGTGCGGTATTAAAGCTTGAAAAATAAGGAAAATTTTGATCTTTAAACCAATTTTTTTGGAGTTGCAGGAAAAAAGTGAATTTTTTGCATTATTTATTGTTGTATTTTTTAAATAAACAATTGTTTTTACTTAAAAAGTGATTTTTTTGGACCTTTATATTAATAAATATTATTAAAAAAATGTTTCATTTAATTTGGAAAGGTTACTCCGAAAAGTGCTAAAAAACTCCTGGAATGGCACAACTTTAAAAAATGGAAAAAAAATTTTAAATACAAGTTTTTTTATATGATGACATTTAAAAACAAAAAATTGTGCTGAGTTGTGCTTCTCGAGTACAACAAAAGTCTATCAAAAGTTTTTTCTCAAAATTTAATTTTTTTTTTATAAAATTAGGATTTTTTTATCACGAATAGATTTTTGTCCGGAATTTTCTCAAAAAAAGGAAAATTCGAAAAATAGAAAGTTGTGCTGAGTTGTGCTAATCGAGCACAACAAAAGTCTATGAAAAGTTTTTTTTACAAATTTAAATTTTTTGTAAAATAATTAAGCTTTCTTGATCATGGATGGAATTTTGCCCCGAATTTACTCAAAAAAAGGAAAATTCGAAAAATGGAAAGTTGTGCTGAGTTGTGCTAGTCGGGCACAACAAAAGTCTAGGAAATGTTTTTACTCAAAATTTAATTTTTTTAAAAATAATGAAGATTTATTGATCAGTGATAGATTTTTTCCCGAATTTTCCAAAAAAAGGAAAATTCGAAAAATGGAAAGTTGTGCTGAGTTGTGCTAGTCGAGTACAATAAAAGTCTATGAAAAGTTTTTTCTCACAATTTAATTTTTTTTTAAATAATTGAGATTTCTTGATCACGGATAGATTCTTGCCCCGAATTTTCCAAAAAAAGGAAAATTCGAAAAATGGAAAGTTGTGCTGAGTTGTGCTAGTCGAGCATAAGAAAACTCCAAAACAAATTTCCTTAAAATTCAATTTTTTTGAAAATAATAAAGAATTTTTTGATCACGGATAGATTTTTGCCCCTAATTTTCCAAAAAAAAGGAAAATTCGAAAAACGGAAAGTTGTGCTGAGTTGTGCTAGTCGAGCACAACAAAAGTCTAGGAAAAGTTTTTACTCAAAATTTAATTGTTTCAAAAATAATTAAGAATTTTTGATCAAGAATAGATTTTTGCCCCGAATTATTTCCAAAAAAAGGAAAATTCGAAAAATGGAAAATTGTGCTTATTTGTGCTAGTCGAGCACAACAAAAGTCTATGAAAAGTTTTTACTCAAAATTTAATTTCTTCAAAAATAATTAAGGTTTTTGTGATCAGGAATAGATTTTAGACCCGAGTTTAACCAAAAAAAGAAAATTCGAAACATGTAAAATTGTGCTAAGTTGTGCTGGTCGAATCCGTGATCAAGAAATCTTAATTATTTTAAAAAAAATTAAATTGTGAGAAAAAACTTTTCATAGACTTTTGTTGTGCTCGACTAGCACAACTCAGCACAACTTTCCATTTTTCGAATTTTCCTTTTTTTTGGAAAATTAGGGGCAAAAATCTATCCGTGATCAAAAAATTCTTTATTATTTTCAAAAAAATTGAATTTTAAGGAAATTTGTTTTATAGTTTTCTTATGCTCGACTAGCACAACTCAGCACAACTTTCCATTTTTCGAATTTTCCTTTTTTTGGAAAATTCGGGAAAAAATCTATCACTGATCAATAAATCTTCATTATTTTTAAAAAAATTAAATTTTGAGTAAAAACATTTCCTAGACTTTTGTTGTGCCCGACTAGCACAACTTAGCACAACTTTCCATTTTTCGAATTTTCCTGTTTTTGGAAAATTCGGGGCAAAAATCTATCACTGATCAAAAAATCTTAATTATTTTAAAAAAAAATTAAATTTTGTGTAAAAACTTTTCATAGGCTTTTGTAGAGCTCGACAAGCACAACACAGCACAACTTTCTATTTTTCGAATTTTCCTTTTTTTGAGTAAATTCGGGGCAAAATTCCATCCATGATCAAGAAAGCTTAATTATTTTACAAAAAATTTAAATTTGTAAAAAAAACTTTTCATAGACTTTTGTTGTGCTCGATTAGCACAACTCAGCACAACTTTCTATTTTTCGAATTTTCCTTTTTTTGAGAAAATTCCGGACAAAAATCTATTCGTGATAAAAAAATCCTAATTTTATAAAAAAAAAATTAAATTTTGAGAAAAAACTTTTGATAGACTTTTGTTGTACTCGAGAAGCACAACTCAGCACAATTTTTTGTTTTTAAATGTCATCATATAAAAAAACTTGTATTTAAAATTTTTTTTCCATTTTTTAAAGTTAGAAATTTTTTTTTTTTAATAAATTTTTACTGCACAATGTTGAGCTATGTAAGGGTGACTCAGCACAAGTGAGCATTATTCAATTTTTAAAGATTGCAGTTTTGGGCCTTATAAACGTTTTTTGGTTTTTTTATGAAAAATATTAACTTAAAAAAAATTTTTTTTGTGGCACAATTTAGCACAATTCAGCACAATTTTTGTTTTTTAAAAAAAAGTAGTTTGCGGTGCTAACTTCCTGGACATGTACAAGAACATGTTCCACATCTGGTACAAGAAAATGTATATGAAACCTGTGCAAGAACAGGTACATTTTCTTGTACAAGTATATTTTCTTGTCCAGGATCTTGTACAAGTTCTGGTACAAGAACATGTCTCAATTCCGGATGCTGAACTTGTTCAAGAACATTACTCGAACATGTACAAGAAAATGAACACGTTCAAGAACTTGTACATTTTCTTGTACAAGTTTTTTCAGCCGGGTTAGTTCTCTAAAATCGAGAAATTAACAGATATGTTTGATATTTGGGTTTAAGTCTAATTATTTAATGTATTTTTAAAATATGTTTATCATTTTTAATAAAAAGGACAAATTGACATAAATATTCACGTGCAATGTTCAGTCAATGTTGTGTCAATATTGACATTACATTTTCACCTAGTTATAAAAATTTCGTTTACTAATATAATAAGTATAGGTGAATATTGACACAACATTGACTATGAACATTGCACGTGAATATTTATAGTGTAATATTCCCTCAAAGTTTCGTGTAAATATTCTTTTCATGAGGACATTTAAACATCGACACAAACTTGTATGAACCTTGCCACTGAAGTTTCCTAACCTTGCCGTGTGAGGTTCTGTCAAGTTTTAGGAAATTTTGGGTGCTGTGTGGGTAAACAACTTCACTCTATTTTATTTCTGTAAAATAAAAAATGTATTTGATAGAGATATACACACATCGGAATCAAATGAATAAGAAGCAGACGATGGGAAAAAATCGGACAAGTGCGAGTTACACTCGCACTAATTCAAGGGTTCTGTACACCAACAATAATAAACTCGTTTTTTATATATAAATAAATAAAGAAACACATTTAAATATCTACTTTGTATAACTTTTATTTTTGATACTTTCACTCAATGTGAAATTTGTGTTACAATTTTTTGCCAAAAATATTGTTTCGTATGATGACGTGTCTCAATAAATAACATGGCTAAATATTTACTCACTAATTATCGCATATATGCAAACCACAGTCGAACTTA